CTGTACACTAGCAGGTGTCTGTTCTCTGTTACACTAGCAGGTGTCTGTTCTCTGTTATATCTGATAAGTGTCCTAGATTTACACTAGCAGGTGTCTGTTCTCTGTTATATCTGATAAGTGTCATAGACTGTTACACTAGCAGGTGTCTGTTCTCTGTTATATCTGATAAGTGTCCTAGATTTACACTAGCAGGTGTCTGTTCACTGTTATATCTGATAAGTGTCATAGACTGTTACACTAGCAGGTGTCTGTTCTCTGTTTCACTAGCAGGTGTCTGTTCTCTGTTGTGTCTGATAAGTGTCGTAGACTGTATGCTAGCAGGTGTCTGTTCTCTGTTACACTAGCAGGTGTCTGTTCTCTGTTATGCTAGCAGGTGTATGTTTTCTGTTACACTAGCAGGTGTCTGTTCTTTGTTATATCTGATAAGTGTCCTAGATTTACACTAGCAGGTGTCTGTTCACTGTTATATACAATTAGAGTCTCACACTGTACATTGAGTTAAGTGTCCCATTACCAGTATATCTGACTAGTGTCCTAGATTCCACATGTGTTTGCGTCTTGCAGAAAGTAGAAGGTAGATAATTGTAGATAAATGTAGATATTTCTCATCATTAAACCAGTTTAGTAACCCAGCAATATGTTGTGTAACCATGTCAGGAACAGTTTGAACATATATTCTGAAGTTGCCCTCTATACCTTGTGAAATACCGTTAAGCACAGTCATTGCTTTAGCATGCATATCGGTGATCTACTGGATACTGAATAGACATGGAGGAGACTAAACACCAACACATCAATATGTCGCATGTTCCGATGATGCATTATGATGGCAGTCAAGAAAGGTAAACATCAGTTGATCCTATTAAATCTACATATCACTACATAGAGCACCATCTGCCACTGTGAGACGAGGATGTGCTTGGTACTGACCATCCTGGTCAGCTGTCCAGTTACTACTGTCCAGACACCCAGGACTGGGCCTTGCATATGTAGTGGGAGAAGCAGTAGGGGGTAGGGATGTCTGAGCCAGACTAGTGCCCTGCAGTGGGAGGGGGTACCAGGTGGGTAGTAGGGGGTAGGGATGTCTGAGCCCAACTAGTGCCCTGCAGTGGGAGGGGGTACCAGGTGGGTACTAGGGGGTAGGGATGTGTGAGCCAGACTAGTGCCCTGCAATGGGAGGGGGTACCAGGTGGGTAGTAGGGGATACAGATGTCTGAGCCAGACTAGTGCCCTGCAATGGGAGGGGGTACCAGGTGGGTAGTTGGGGGTACAGATGTCTGAGCCAGACTAGTGCCCTGCAATGGGAGGGGGTACCAGGTGGGTACTAGGGGATACAGATGTCTGAGCCAGACTAGTGCCCAGCAGTGGGAGGGGGTACCAGGTGGGTACTAGGGGGTAGGGATGTGTGAGCCAGACTAGTGCCCTGCAGTGGGAGGGGGTACCAGGTGGGTAGTAGGGGATACAAATGTCTGAGCCAGACTAGTGCCCTGCAGTGGGAGGGGGTACCAGGTGGGTAGTAGGGGGTAGGGATGTGTGAGCCCAACTAGTGCCCTGCAATGGGAGGGGGTACCAGGAGGGTAGTAGGGGGTGTAACATTACAGGTAATGTAGCATGTAGTAGGCACAGCTGGTGTTCCAAAATGAGAGAATAAATGTTTAGTACCAAGTTTGCTGATTTAATGTACGTTTACTATAATTATAATGTAACCGTGGCAATGGCAGCATAATACATGTTTTTATGATACATGAAACTTATTAAAAGATTACATGGATTTCAAATTCTTTTATTCTTTCAATGCACTGTTCAGTAGATATGTATGTTCCACTATCGAAATGTCACAATGAAAGTGCTGAAGAAGTTGCAGTCTTTAAGGCAAAAAGGCCTTTCATTATAACTCCAGCTCTTACTATGCCACATGAAGATAAAGTCGTAATTTACTCATATGTAATTATGCTTTAAAATATATTATATCTAGGGATGTTGAATGATTTTTACTGGGAAATACGTAATATTTTCTGTTATCTATTCTGGTTCTGGGTGTTCGTATTTAGAGTGGTTTGATATTTTCAACCAGCAGTGGAATCTTCTAAATGCAGGAATCCTACTACACTATGTCACACCAGACACTGTGTCTTCTAAACACTGGAGTTGTACAAGACTAGAGTGGACATGGAGGGGTCGTTGTCGGCACAGAAATGTACTCAAAACAAAGTCAAAATACAGAAACGTGTCTGGTACTCTACACATCCGATGAGTCCACATTCCACAACCCAAAATCGAAAACGTATGTGGTTTTTCCGGTTCAATTGATTGCGAGTGGTGCACCACAAAATATTCGTTACTGACTCTATGTCTGTTTCTTCTATAACGCATTCAAATGCATCTAAGACAACAGTATGACAGTTCCGATCAAGAAAACCTCACAGTGCGGAATGGAATCGTCCTCGGGTATGTTTCTGTATTCTGATTTTGACTAGGGAGTGTTTCTGTATACAGAAATGTACCTGGGGTACACATCTGTAGTACCTGTGCTGACAACGACCCCTTCATCGACACTACCAGTTGAAATGTCTGCTGGACACTTGAACCATACTGCAGACACTGACAGACATGTCTCCCAGACACTGGAGTTGTAGAAGTCATTTGCAGATGTCACCTCCAGACGATGTGTCTTTGTTCATAACTGTTGTTGTTCAAACAGGTTGCATATCTGACATTTTCAGCGACCAAGCTATGGTCCAGCATCTGTTTCCTTTAATACAGCACTGTATACTTTCCCTGTGCACCTCAGAGTAACATGATCCCTGGCTGAGATTTCAGCCACATGCACTACCATGTGAGACTGACCTTTCTGTTTTCAACCCACTGAATCCATTGGCATTTCCATAGCAGCAGACACACAACAATCTGGGGCAGATGGGTGGGGCACAGGTGTATGGGGGTGGAACAGACTCAGACAAGGATGGGGATGGGGTGGGGGTGGGGTGGAGTGTGTTGGAATGTGGCGAGGTTTGTGATGGGGTGCATGTTCAAGCTGATGGCTCAGTTGCAGCAATACCCAATTACAACATTCATTACTGAAAGTGTGTAGGGCCCTTCATTATTTTGTTGTTTCACCAGTTGGTTTGGTGTTCAAAAATAGGGATACATTTCTATTATTAACATAACATATTATTTTTAAAATGATATCAGAAAAAAGTGTCAGTAATATTTAAAATAATCCAAAACTATTTGCAGGGAGTGACATGTCTGACATTGACTATCTTGTGGGATATGAAAAGCTGTGAGTTATTTTGATTTTGTTATACCATTGGAGAACTTTTGGATTGTTGGATCTGTAAAATTAATAAAAGGCTCAAGGACACACAGAAGCATCCCATTATTGTAGATTACATACACATGTATTTATTAATGATGTGAATTATTTCAGCCAAATAAGTAGGAATTGTATGTATAGTTATGGCCAGAATGGGTATGCACTGACATTTTACCTGAACGTGAAAGTAGATATATTGCCCCCAATCACCACACAATGAAGGTGACACTTATTGTCTGTGTGCTACACACCATGTCCTCCAGCCCGTGTGGTTCATATGTGGTTCGCTATGTGAGTGTCAGTCTCACAGTGATGCATTCCCAGTCATGCAGCCAGAACTGTTGTTTAGCACCCATCAACATACTACTACCAACTATCTGTCATGGAAAACTTGCAGAAGAAAAACAGCTAGGAAAGATTCATCCATGTTTTTCAGTAGACAAGCAATGATTCATTCTACTGCACTTGAATAGAGCATTCCTTACTTTCTCTCCAGCACCAGAACCCGGTCCACATACAAATAATGACATTTACCTATCGCCATGGCAATCCCTACCAGCTGTTGTGTCTTCGGCACCAGAGAAGAGCGCCACCTACAACAATGGTATATGTCTGCAATGTAGCAACGAATAACCTACCTGGCTTTCAGCCAGATCCGCACATGCTGGAAAAATATTTCCCCAATTCCCTGTCAAACTGATCAAGTGTCCCGAGTCAACTTATGTAAGTTACACTGGAAGAAAAGCCTAAGTAGAATCTGTATTGAAGGATCTGTATTGAAGAATCTGTATTGAAGGATCTGTATTGAAGGATCTGTATTGAAGGATCTGTATTGAAGGATACGCTGTCAAGACATGACATATCACAACAGGGTTGACTGACATGGCCCAGCATGGTTTTATAGCCTCATACATACACAGCCAATGTTGGAAATTGGAATATTGTTTGTCAGAAATACCAATAACAAGACTGAGGATGTTTTCCACACATTACATAAACACAGGTGTAAACTCACACAAAAAATATGCATGAGAAAGTTTGAAAATCATACTTATAGTTGGAAATATGAACAGAATTAATATCTGTAGTGGCAGCATTCCTCATGTTACCAAATACACATGTGCAAGTTATGCAAATCCCAAATCAGTTTTAAGGATATGTGTGCTTTTGAATTATTTCACACATAATATATTCTGTTAATATGTGTTCTTCAATTATGATTAATCTGAAAAATTAAGTTGTTCAAGTTCCATGTTTAAAAAACAGAAAAGATGTACTTAATCAGCTAAACAGAAGTGATTTGAACATGTGTGTGTTTGCCGTTACTACTGCTAAAAGATCTAGATATTTCACAGTGTGTGTTTGACACAGCTATCTGATACACAGGAGTTGAATTTCCTCCCCCAAACCCAGATGCTACCATCTAACACACAGGGAATCTTCTGGCTGTAATTAGTAACAGAGGAGGCCAGATGTACAGCAGTCATTAGCATGTCATAGATGCTGTTAGGTCATCAGTACCTGCTTCCACAGACTCACTCTCATCATTGGACAAAGTTTCACTGACCTGGGGTCAAAGCAAGGGGGAGTTAAGTTTCAGGTTCGGATTTCATCTCCAGGGGGGTTGTTGAGGGGGATATAGGCTGAGTCTGAGGGAAGGGGATCAGTTAGAGTACTGTATCAGCAGAGGAAAGCCCTCTCACTGGAATATTTCGTAGTGGTGCTAGGCGTCTGCTTCAGTCTGTCCGTCTGCTCAGATCATCCCACATCTGCTGGACTATCAGGTGTACATCACATTGGAAAAGCTTGGTACTGTAGGTGTGCTGAGGTTACAGCTCCCGAGGATTGCTGGGAGACTCACCTTCCATTTGGGTAGGATATATTCCACTTAGCATTTACTTCTTGGATATAGTCTACATCAGACATATCTGTAGGATATCCCCCAGCCAGCCTGCTAGGACTTTAGTCTACTGACAGCAAACTTACAGGCAGAAGCCTTTGATAGTCAGGTAGGTTGGGGTGCCATCTGGAATTATAGGAATTTAAAGTTGGTGAATTGATTTGTGCTTTCATAAGAACATAATTTTGGGTTTGGGTTGGATTATTACATTCATGAATACGGATTTGCTTGATTTATTTTCAGTAAATTCAATTAAGTTTTGTTGTTTCTGGAATCAAAAAAGAGTGGTCACTGATGTATTTTCATTCAGTGATGATGGTCATATTTCTCTGCCGATGTGACAGATCTGTCCTCTGTGCATGACCTTGGTACACGTGTGTCAGAGGGGATTCTTTCGTAAGGACTGGTCTTTGGCGTGTCAGCCATTTTATGACATTAAACAACAAAACTGTTGTAATGCCTGATGAGAATGTGGTGTGAAGGAATATACTGATACATCGGAACAGAATACGAATATTGTGTGTTTCTGATACATATAATACCTTGCAGCTAAAATTACGAGCGCGTGTATAGATTATATACTTGTACAAAGTGTGTGAAGTGTAGACTTTTGACATATCTGACTTATTAATAGATTATATGGCAGTTTTCCAAAATGTATATTTTGAGTGTCTTCCATTTGTACATTCCTAGATTAGTTTATCTTTGTGTGGTAAATAGTATCTCTTCTGTTTGGAATGGTCATCAGAATTAGGAGTATACTCAACTTGACAGGTTTGGTGCTATTTGATGGTCTGGTTGCTATAGTAACCATTATTTGCTGCATTGTACACCATTCAACCAGCAATAACTCCACATTTCTTGTTCTGCTTTGATAGTGATGCTTGCACTATTAATACTACCTTCACTACCACTAGTTTCCATTGGGATGTCAGGGAACACAGTTGCTCTTCACAGTAGGTTTCCAGTAGATCTGGTGGTCGTATTGACTCAGAGAAACTTACTGATAGGAGTCAAAGTTGGAATTCAAGTATATGTGAAACTATGTCAGGACAAATATTCCTTCAGTTGGAGATAACGGTTATTTCAAAAAGATAAGCATCGTGATCTGAGAACCCTAAAGCTTTTATATTACTGCTTGAAGATACAGACTTAATTTCATCATGTTTATCAGTACTTTTAACCAATTTATTTATAGCTGTCATGAGGGAGTTATATCTGAAGCTGTGAGGGAATCATTACAAACCAACCTATGATAAGGTTTTTCAAAGAGCACAAGAGTTATTGAATGTATAAATTTTGTCTTCACTGAGAGCGTTAATTGTCTAGAAGTTTGCCTTCTACAATCTTAAAACCATTTTCTTATAGCAGCAGTAAAGCAGTGTATCAATACGTTTCATTTATAAGTGTATTTTAAAGTATATTTAGAGATTTAACTGAGCTGACCTTGTTTGATTCACTACATCTATTTCTTTGTTCTCCATGTAGTAATTGTGACTGTTGCCAGTTAGTCAAACATGCAAAAAGACAATGTTTTCTGTTTGATAAGCTTTTCTCATAAATTCTGGCATCACTATCTGGGTGTAGTTAATTTGCATTTGAAACTCAGCTGCACAAAGTGAAAATTTTTGTATTTCATGTAAGCCATCATTCAACCATTTAAATCAACATGTGATGTATGCATGGTAGCGGTATAGAGAGGCAATGAAAGCGACATATGTATACATGTATGTAAGGCAGTATAGTGAGGTATTACTGGCACACTAGGACTCCCAGAGCCCCCAGAAACCAAAGCTGCAGCCAACGCATTCTTGTCATAATCTACAAGGTAGCAACATTCAAGATGGCTGCCGATGCTGTATCACTACTGCCATATTTAGTCAGACGTCTCCATGGCTACAGCTCTTCATCCCATGACCTTCAACCAATCTGAAAGAATTAAACACACATTTTGCATCTATTTAATTAAACCTGGTAGCAAAAGAACTGTCTGTGTAAAGTTTGATATTTGTAGAACAGCAGACATAAGTTTTGAATGTTTTGAGGGGTCGTGAAGGTTTATCAAGAGTGGGTATCGGGTGTCATGACATGAAGCTGCCATCATTCCATGTAAGCAGCGAAGGAGGCAGCAGTAGTGTGTGGGTTGAGGAGGCAGGTCAGGGAGGGGGATGGTACTGATGCTTTACTCTGCTGTAGTCCCCCACTGTCAGTGCCCCTCCCCCCCACCTTCACTCTCCCTCAACAGCTGTGTACTTTTATTTTGGAAGTCATAGATCTTTACAGAGGTTACTTGTTCTCCAACTTGTTACAATTGTTTATGAGAACTGGATCTGAACATAGCTGAGGAATCCAACAGTTTGGGGTTTAATCCTTTAGAATCTTTGATAGATTGTTTAAAGAAGTACCAGTAATGTTTACCATTGATGACTATACTTGACGAAGTTGAAGTTGCTGCATCAGCTAATATGTAATCAGTCAACAGTCTAGTATTATTGTCTCTAATCAGTTGCAGTAGTCCTTGAACTCTGTACAGCTCATTAACATTCTGGCTCAATTATTTTTATCACAGAACACGGATTTGGTTGATATAATTACCCTGATTAGATGGAAGGAATCATTATCAGATGCACGGATGGTGAGATATCCATCTGCCCTGTCCCTGGCCCTATTCTTCATGGGTGCGGAAATTATATGACTCTTCTGATGTAGGGGATAATTTAGAGATGGACATTTAAATTTGGTGTTTATTGAATTACTTACATGTGATCAATTGTGATTAATTGATGAATGAACTTGATCGAACTTATGTCATAAATGATGATTTACTTAATCTTTCATCTCTGGTATGTACAGCTCATGATGAGTGAATGTTATAATGAAAGGACATGGACATATGCCTGCAGTAGTGAAATATATGCCTGATGTATCACCACCATGCACAGAATCACAAAGGTTCCATGTCACACACAAAGACTACTTATCAATAATGGTGGAACAAGGGAGATAACCAGTACTACTACTGGTTTGTGGTGATCTCCCTTGTATAGTTTATCTTCCCCTTGATTGCATGATAAGGTTTACCATGTTAAAGTTTACCTTTGTATGAAAAAACATTGATATTTTGTTGATTAGTAGAAAAATATGAGGGACACATGAACTGTCCTGTTTATTTAAATCCAGAGTGACTAAAATCAAACATGTGAGAAATCTTTTAGAAGCACAAGGCTGACTTAGACGTAGTCTCCAGTTGATTTAATCCACTTGCTTCATTTGCAACGCATCTGTTGTCTAGATATACCAGTATATCATTCTGTGTAGATATACATCAGTACCAGTATATTCTGTTGTGTAGATAGGCCGGTATGTTCAGACACTAAGAGAATCTATCTGCCGTATGATTGCCCAGAACTGTTTTAATTAAAGTCTTAGTTTCATCAATGTTTAAACTAAGTTTGTTCACAATCACTTGATCTCTGACAACAAACTTAACTCTTTGAGTTTGGCCCAATAAGCACCCCCTCTGGAATTCTCTAAACGCCCATCAGGAGTGCATATTATGGCAAATACAAACAAAGTATGATGGCTAGAGTTATTTACCTGACACACTCCATGAGGTTTAAGCAAAGCATCGAACTTTCCTCTGACTTCCTAGAGAGGCATTTAGAGGTTGGAGCAGTAAGGAAAGACAACAATATACTGGTGAACAATGTCTTTATTACAGAAAGTGTGGCATTTTGGTGTTGATTCTAACCCTGTTATCAAGCAAGTGATCACTTAGGTTAGAAATGTTGTTCTCACTGTAATATAGAAGCTATTCATCCATATATTGTCATCCTTCTTTCCTATCATTCTGCTGCTACATATAGTGTGTTACCTTATTTGTAGATAATTTGTATTTCCCTTATGGAAATGAACACAAAAGTAGAATCAATTGAAGATATCACATTCAGACAGTTCTGGTTGATTGCATTGAATGTAAGAAAGTTTGTAGAAAACTGAACACATTGTGCAGGTGGTGCTGTAGACCTACTTACTACTTGTATACAATGGAGGTATACAAGTGTCCCCTTGTCTCAGTTGGTTTGGTTCACAACTGTCTGGATTCTCAGACACTATGAGCTGCAGATATGTTAGATCACAGATTCCTTAGATGAATTGTTAATAAATTCTAATATTTCTCCTCTATCAACCTTCCTTAATTTCAGAGTTTCGTTAGTGACCAAACTTGACCAAAATGAGTAGCATGGAAGAACGCCGTGAAGCTCGTCGTCGCAGACGGCAACAACAGGAAGATGAGTGAGTATATGTCGTTGACATCATTGTCTCATGTTTGTCACTCACGTGCTGTGATGGTTGTCTAGTTTCTTTTATTTCTGTAACTTAATGTTTTGTTTCAGTGTATGTTGTCCTTTTGTTTTCAGTCCTATTTTGGAAGTGTTTTGTGAGTGGTATCCATGTTATGTATCGTCACGATCATCCTGTACGTAGGGAGTTATTCCCTCATGCTGCTGAAGACAACTCAATCTCTGTATTCTGAATGTGTCTCATACATCTGTTCATGATTCCTAAGAAAATTCAGCAAGAAGTCAGGGAGGTCATATATTTAAAGTGTTCAAATGGGTTTATTCACAAAATGGCTGGGTTATTCACTGTTATATGTTCCTTGCTGGGTAACAGGTATAGGCTCAATACTTCATCAATGTGTTGCTTCATTGATGCCAAATCAGTGAAAATATAAATGACTTTAAAAGTTGACACTATTGCAGTCATGGGAAATGTGGGTCACTCTGACCTATCTACTTTGGTAACTGCCTAGATCCTGTTATTATTTATCATCTTAAAGATGGTATGAATTTCTAGAGAAGAAATGATGATGACTCTTTTATAGACATACATGTACATTTGTATATAGATGTCATGTAAGAACTTTGAAAACTTCAGCTTATCATTGGATATATATAAACATAACTTATAACTATTAAATAGTGATATTTTAAAAAATTAAAGTCACAAAATGCCAATTTGCCATACTGTTTTAACTGTATATGATCAAATCCCTGTGCATATAAGTTTTACCATTTCTATCATATCTGACAATTTTATCAAGAACTCAAAATGTTATTGCTGAGATGTGTGTGGGAACAAGGAGCTATGTGAACTACGCTAAGATTTCATTCATCTATGTGTTAACTCATCTCATTTCACCAAAATAATCTGCATTTGTTTTGAAGCAAATATATATATTTATGTATGTATATTCACAGTTTCACTAATCTTGAATGATGAACAATATTCCAAATTTACTTGCACATCATGTATGTCTCTATATTGTCAGTTAAAGTTAATTAATGTACTTATCAATCACCAGCTACAGATATTAACATCACTAAATGGAATATTGATAGTCTGTATACCATTGCAATAGCGCTGTGCCTACATGTGCTACATGAATGAACTAACATGAACTTTCTGTCTGGTTCAGGGAGGGCTCATCAGAGTAAGTGATCATTGTTGGTTTATTGTATTGACCATTTGAACCATTTGTTATCTGTTGAATTGACCGTGTGTGACCCCTTCCAGAACCATGCCTCGCAACATGGTATCGAGTCATGGCATAAAGTCATGGCATCGTCTCATGGCATGTCATCCTGGGTCAGCTCTAGCTGTCCCGGATAAACATGAGAAAAGAAACCTAACACATATTTGTTGACAGAGAATGTGAATCCATGACACGTTTTTATGGATAACAACTTCTTTTTATTCTTTTTATACGACATTTCAGAACTAATTCATGCTCGTTCACCAGGTGAATGATGATGAAGCAGCAAGCATTAGTTCTGAAACGTCGTACAGAAAGAATATAAAGAAGTTGTTATCCATATAAATGTGTCATGTATCCATGTTCGTCCAACTTTTAAATGCCTTTCAAGAATGACAGAGAATGTATTGTGAGTTGTGGCACAACAAACCTGTTATTTAGATAGACATTTTGTATTTGCCTTGCCAAATGAATGCAGTCATCATCAGTTCATACTATACAGTTTGATAGCGGTAACACAGCAGAGCAACATTTTATTCCATTTACTAAACCATAAAACACAAGTTTATACTGTCCTTTGTGAAGGTGTGATAGTTCTTATGATTAATGCACTAAGAACATATTCACAGCATGCAATTCACATTGATGATTTCAAGTAATGTCTCATGCTTATGTACACATCAAAGCTTAATTGCTTACTGCTTTTGTGTTGAAACAATGTAACAGTTGAATAATTAAGTCAGTTTAAATAATGTAGGTGTTCATCATTGAATCTCATTTGTTATTATGAATGCAAGCACTCAATTATTATAATGGCTCTGCATGATACATATTATACAAATGGAACATAACTGGGTGAAGTTTTGTATGTAACTTATCTTTTATGTAAAACTGTTGTTTCAAATGACTGGACTAACTGTGGTGGAGATTTGTGTCATGGACGGGTTGTGTTCTGCATGGGGATGTCATCATGACATCATGTCCACATCAAATGATGCATATCGTTACTTCTCATCTCTGTATTATCCATATCATGTGATTCATGGAAATAGCATAAACAGCTGCTGTAGGCTGCATGGTAGACACAAGCTTCATCATATAACTGAGTCATGATAGACACAGCACACTGCTTGCCTCTGACAACACACTGTAGCTGCCTTGAGTATTGTGCTAACCATTGTTTCTTTATTGCAAGGTTTAATGAGGACGAGGAGGAGGAGGAGTAAGTGAGGGCTGGCATGTCAGTTCCATCTTCTTGCATTGTTTCTTACTTTATGAAACATTCTGCTTCATTACTGGCTCAACTCAAGGGATGAAACATCCCGAACCTGTGTCTTCTTCCTCCCAACTAAATGCTACATTAATGCCCCAGTCAGAGTTAAAATAATTTTTACATCTTTGCATTTCAAATCATTCTCTTTCTGTTTCAATAACCAAATACTTCTACTCTCTGCTACGCTGATACAATTATATCTTCAGTGCTACATCTGGTAAAACAGTATATGCCGCTGTGCAGGAATAGACACATTTCTTGTCTTGTCTGGGAGAATAGGAATTGGCAGAGTCACTTGTAAAATCTCCATCTTCTCCCTGTCTAGATCTCAGTACAGATGTTGGACTGCAGCAGTCTGACGTAAACCTCCAAGGTCGTGTCTTATTTAGTTGTCTCATTATATTGAGAATTCCCATGCAAGACTGTTGTTCCTGCACTAAGCTATGGCTCCTGTTCTTCTACTGATGGGGAACCTGCTGGATCCCTGCTGCAACAAACTGTGATTTCTCAGACTGAAACAAGTTATCTGTCTGGCATGGCAATTTAACACTCTTTTCAATTCATGTTTGTACTGACAATGTGTTCTGATACATTGGTTATATTAATCAATATGTGATTGGGTGAACTCTATTAATTTCTCCCAAAATAAAATCTTTACTGTATGCATGTAGGTGTGGATGTGGAACATTGTTCTCTCTGACTATGGATGTTTGAACATTGTTCTCTCTCTGACTATGGATGTTGCAGCATTGTTCTCTCTCTGACTATTGATGTTGGAACATTGTTCTCTCTGACTATAGATGTTGGAACATTGTTCTCTCTCTGACTATTGATGTTGGAACATTGTTCTCTCTGACTATCGATGTTGGAACATTGTTCTCTATCTGAGTATGGATGTTGGAACATTGTTCTCTATCTGAGTATGGATGTTGGAACATTGTTCTCTCTGACTATGGATGTTGGAACATTGTTCTCTCTGACTATGGATGTTGGAACATTGTTCTCTCTCTGACTATGGATGTTGGAATTGTTCTCTCTAACTTCGTCATGCCGAACACCCGGGTTCGAATCCCCACATGGGTACAATGTGTGAAGCCCATTTCTGGTGTCCCCAGCCGTGATGTTGCTGGAATATTGCTAAAAGTGGCGTAAAACCAAAACTCAGTCAGTCTCTCTAACTATGGATGTTGGAACATTGTTCTCTCTCTGACTATGGATGTTGGAACATTGTTCTCTCTCTGACTATGGATGTTGGAACATTGTTCTCTCTCTGACTATGGATGTTAGAACATTGTTCTCTCTCTGACTATGGATGTTGGAACATTGTTCTCTCTCTGACTATGGATGTTGGAACATTGTTCTCTCTGACTATGGATGTTGGAACATTGTTCTCTCTCTGACTATGGATGTTGGAACATGACTATGGATGTTGGAACATTGTTCTCTCTGAGTGGATGGATGTTCTCTCTCTGACTATGGGAACATTGTTCTCTCTCTGACTATGGATGTTGGAACATTGTTCTCTCTCTGACTATGGATGTTGGAACATTGTTCTCTCTCTGACTATGGATGTTGGAACATTGTTCTCTCTCTGACTATGGATGTTGGAACATTGTTCTCTCTCTGACTATGGATGTTGGAGCATTGTTCTCTGACTATGGATGTTGGAACATTGTTCTCTCTCTGACTATGGATGTTGGAACATTGTTCTCTCTCTGACTATGGATGTTGGAACATTGTTCTCTCTCTGAGTATGGATGTTGGAACATTGTTCTCTCTCTGACTATGGATGTTGGAACATTGTTCTCTCTGACTATGGATGTTGGAACATTGTTCTCTCTCTGACTATGGATGTTGGAACATTGTTCTCTCTCTGACTATGGATGTTGGAACATTGTTCTCTCTGACTATGGATGTTAGAACATTGTTCTCTCTGACTATGGATGTTGGAACATTGTTCTCTCTCTGACTATGGATGTTGGAACATTGTTCTCTCTGACTATGGATGTTGGAACATTGTTCTCTCTCTGACTATGGATGTTGGAACATTGTTCTCTCTGACTATGGATGTTGGAACATTGTTCTCTCTGACTATGGATGTTGGAACATTGTTCTCTCTGACTATGGATGTTGGAACATTGTTCTCTCTGACTATGGACTATGGATGTTGGAACATTGTTCTCTCTGACTATGGATGTTGGAACATTGTTCTCTCTGACTATGGATGTTGGAACATTGTTCTCTCTGACTATGGATGTTGGAACATTGTTCTCTCTGACTATGGATGTTGAAACATTGTTCTCTCTGACTATGGATGTTGGAACATTGTTCTCTCTGACTATGGATGTTGAAACATTGTTCTCTCTCTGACTATGGATGTTGGAACATTGTTCTGCCCCTTACTGTGAATGCTTGAGCTTTGTCCCGTTCCAGGCTGTGAATACTGGAAAATTGTTGTGCCTCCAGCTGTGAACATCAGAACAGAACCTGGTGTCTAATGAGATTTGTGTGTTTGTGGTGTGGCTACGCAGGTGCAGTAGGGCTATGTACTTGATGCAGTCTAGATGCTGGGAGACCAGGGCTGCTGTGAACTCTTATCTGTTAAACTCTTGGAAGCTGGTGTTGTAACTATTGATGAATCAAAACATTGACTTGGCACATAAAGATTGGATGGAGTAGGACCTAACAAGTTTAGTGTTTGAGATCAGTAGAGAACAAACTCAGTTCAGGCTTCAATGAGACAACTTTCCTCCATAGAAGGTACTGGGCAACAATAAGCCCTGTCTACACTACTATATGTTTTCTGTAAATGATCTTTAATTTACTCCATAAAATACAGACTGTCAGGGATAAATCTTCAGTACAGAGTGCTTTTCCTGATTCTTTTCAGACTGGTCCAGGGCCCCGTTTCACAAAGCTATGGTAGCCCTACTACTGTCGTACCTCCTATACTGTAACATAGACTTACCAGATTTGTAGCACTACGATAGCTTTGTGAAATAGGGCCCTAAAATTGGTCAGACAGGGAGCTAAATACAGTGAATGGGTTACATAAATAAACATAAGTAATCATTCAGACAGATATAATCTAATCATTAAACACATCAAAATTCTGTTTCATGGTTATTTCCTGTTACTTCAAAACCAAACGACCGCATGGTCTTGTCATTGAGTCTTAAAGAAAGTCAATAAGTGTATACTCTTCAAAATGGCATTTTATACGTTTTAATAATGTCCATTTTAAGAAAAAATACTTTGGACACTGCTATGTACTTTTCATTGATGATAATACGATTGTGTCAATCTGTGTATTTACCAAGCCTTAGGCCAATGTTACAATAGCAGATAAAACTGTACATCCATGCAGGTTTACATAATGGCTACACACTATTGTAAGGTATCGTGGGCGTGGCAGGTTGTTGGTTCAACATTTTACTACTGTTTGAAAAAAACAATGCCACAATTTACATTCTTTTACGCCACAGTAACAATTTGTCACAAATCGAGAAAACAACAGAAGGGCAGATGTCACTCATCAGTAGTAGTTTTCTGGTAGTCATGGCAACAGTGTATGAGTGGGTGCCGACAGAGTGTTGTTTCACTGTTGACATAGAGATAACTGCCAGGTATAAATGAGTTGTACTTTTGGCAAAAGTCCAGCTGCCTGTTTGATTATTGCTTCATTTCTTACAAGACGTTGAAAGACAACTTAGTTCAGACTTGAGCAGAAAGGCAGCAGCAATTTTGTGGAAGCCCTGGGGTGAGGGTGGGAGGGATGTGGTGTTTGTGAGAGATACCAGAAGCTTGTTGATCAGGAACAAACCGTGTGGAATGGTAATTACTACATGATCCATCGCATGCCAACATAAACATGGTGCATTTTGTGATGTGATCATATTGCTGTTTCTGGAGAAAGATCATCTGGGAAGGTGTGGACACCTGATACTCACACAAACATGCAGACAGGCATCTCTCAACATTGCTCCTTCTCTAGACAACAACCAATCCTTTGTTGTACTCTAGTAATGGGAAAACTAATGTCAAAACATGCAGGCATACTTGTACAGAGAGCAAACAACATGTATAAGTCAGATAAGGGAATCCGTGGTCTTCATTTTCATTCTGATAAAGTTTGGGCTGTTTCTTCTGTTGTAGTAGTGAGGTTGTTTTAGGAACTTGTTACCTTAATAACAACAATGTCAAAGAACATAAATGATGACCCAATATTTGATACAAAGTTGTCTCAACCAGTTGAAAACATATACTTTTCTCAATAAGTACCTTTTTAATGAGGCTATAATAAAGTAATTCTGATTTTCATCCACTTCTGAGTCACGATCAAATGCCTCCCATAATTATTTTTTTTCCAAAGTAAATACAGATTGAAAAATGTTATAGCTTGTGTCCCCAATAAGTTTTTCCTTTTTTAAGCAATGGACCAACCAATTAACAAAACATGGTGTCAGATCTAGGGAATGGTGCTCATGTTATTTGCCACTGGTAAGAGGTGAGCAGTAAAGTTAAAGAGGCAAGTACAAGATATAGAAGACCTTCTGGTGCCTATGAGGAATATGATAAATCTCTAGATAGATCACTCACCATACATTGCCAATGCAGTAAGTATCTATTTCTGTGTTACAGTTCTTGAACCCAATATTCTCCCTTCTGCCCAGCCCTTTCTGCAGTGCTAAAGCCTAAAGACAAGATTCTATCATTCTCAGGTTCTGAATCCCTGAGCTAACTGGTGCTCCTTTTCAATTTAAATGGAATTGTTTGTTTCTATCAAAATTATATATATTCAGAGACTTAGCATCAGTCTAAATGTATCTTTCTTGAGAGAGTTGAAAACATTCTGATGAATGAACTAGGCAAGAAAAATGTGGGGTTTTTTACGCTAGGAGTCACAGCTACTGAATCCTGATCAGGAACACTCCAGGTTCAGTTTGTTGAGTGATTGTTAAGTATAACTGAGTCCCGCAGTCACTATCATCATCGAGATAAAACATGAAAGCAGTAAAAACACATGAGATCACTGATGAAGATGAAACAGTATGTTCCTTCAGTTGGCTAGGTGATGGCTTTGGTCTGGCCATTCATGGCCAATATTATGCTAATCTGTCTAGGCAACTGTGAGAAAATATGACTGGTAAACCTGGTATAAACTCACAAAAGGTGTTTAATGTGACCAGGTCATTGCACTGGGCACTTGAATCACTTTATACAAGACCAGGAGGAACCTTCTACACAAAAGGGATGAAGGCTCTCCAGCATCTTTGGCAAAGGGGAAGGAGCAGTAGACAGGGTTATGTTTAAAACTGGGTGTTAGGAGTTTTGTCAATATTGATCCAATTTTGCCCATTTTCATGAAGAGGGAATACCTGGTCGTTTGTGCCTGCAGAAATATATGCGGCCTGGTTGTGTATTTGTTTTCAATGGAATTTCATGTACACAATACCGGTAAAATTTTAAAGAGTTCACTATTCATCAGTCCAGATTAGATTTAGAACTTTTCAGCCACTTTTCCAATGCTTCGAATGCATTACTTCACTTAGTTACAAAGTACACAGTTGCATTTGAACAGTGTGTCAAAATGAACAAAACAAAACTAAACTGTCTTGAAAATTGGGATGAAACAATCTGATAATAAATTAACTGGGTTTTCAGTTGTTCAAAGTGGGTACATTTTCAGGTGACTTTTTAACGCCACAGTTTACAGCCTAGATTTAGATGTAGTAACCAGTCAAATATACATAGGAGGGAGATGCAGTCGGACATGTTTGTGGACTGGGAATGGGAGAGGTGCAGATGTTTTCGTGGGGGGGGGCGTGGGGGGTTTATTGTTTAACAAAGAGGGAGAATGAGATGTTGTCTGCCAAACTGGATTCTGGCAGGAACTGTTAAGTGTTCATCAGAGCATTTAATGCAACTGACACCTGTTTCCACTGGTATGAGGAACAGGCCATGTCATATTGAGGTTGTTGTGAAACTGATACAGACATACAGATATAGCTCCACTACGTCACTTGGTATTTGTTTGTTGACATAGTGATCAACAAGCCCAATTTGGGTTTAAGTAACCAGAATCAATATTTAGTCTCAGAAAGATGTAAATTATGATTTTAACTCACATTTGATAGAGAAAATGTTCTTCCCAATTCCAGTCATGAGGTGTTAAGAAGTTATTAGTGTCAAGCATGACAAACAGTGCTGACTATATCTTCCTGCACAGTGTATACACAGGAGGTAAAGGTTGCTTCTAAAGGGTTTAGATAAACAGTGACCACACATGCAGAAGGAAAATCTTATCTTACCTGTTGCCATTGTCCTATGTTACACCATGCATTGTGTGAGTGGTCCATGATGCCCACACTCCTTCAACACAGTGTCCAGTTGCAACACAGTGTCTAGTTGCAACACAGTTGTCCAGTTGCGACATAGTTGTCCAGTTGCAACACAGTTGTCCAGTTATACAACATAGTTGCCCAGTTACAACAGTGTCCAGTTGCAACACAGTTGTCCAGTTGCAACATAGTGGTTCAGTTGCAACACAGTGTCCAGTTACAACCCAGTTGTCCAGTTACAACCCAGTTGTCCAGTTTGTTCCCTGTCCATACCCTCACCTTGTGGTTGTCTGACAAGCAGCTGATGGCCCACTGTCTACACATTTCAACTGCTCTTGTGTCCAGTCCAAGTGAAACTGTTGACTATTTCCTGTTTCTTCATCCCAGACAGTCGACAGTGAGCACTTCCATGTAGAACTGCTGGGTGTGTGAGAGACAGTGGTGACAGGAACCTGATCAGGCCTGTTTGTCTGTGTGTCTGGCAGGACATTCCTGGACTCTAGGCATGTCAGAGTGTGTTAGTGAGAGGCAGGCTGGACATGCCAGGTAGCTCAAGTTGATGACTGGCAGAAACTTGATACACTTCCAGAGGTGTTCCACCAATCTGCGGCCTTCTCCCCTCCCTCTCTACCTCAATATGGTAGGAGACCTTGAGAGGTGACAGGTCACTGCCTTCATCTGTGAGTACTGCAGCTCAGACTTAGTACCGACACTGTCATCCAGCAAGGGTCCTCTGACTTCACAGTCGGGGTATAAAGGTGGTCGTTCCCCTTGCATCTTCGCAGTCTCTACTACAGTCCTCATTTCAAGGTAACCATCGACTTTCTTTCATTTGGAGTATGTTTCTGATAATTTGTGGAATTACTCAAGATATTATTTTTGTGTGTGTGTTTGAATTCTGTAACATGGATATTTGAGATATTCCAGTTTGTTTCAATATTTTCATTCGAGTCTGTTGCTGTTGCATGTCTACGTTATCTATCGTACACTACGTTCCACATGACATCCACTTGTTGACTTGTGTGGAGTGGAGTTTAATTGGCTACAGGTGAAGTGCGTGTAGCTGTCAGGATTCTTACTTTTCAATGCATTAGGAGGGAGACATTTCTCACTTAACTGTTGGTTAATGCAGACCTCAAAAGCTTTTCTCTGGATTTCTGCCAAGATGGGTCGAGCATGCCACCAATGTATGTGGAGACTGTTTTTGTACCCATGTGCTCCAGGATTTATGACTTTCTCTTGGCATCACTGATGATAGTGTTTCAAGAACTTTCTTATCTCTGGAGAATAACCTTGTACCTGCACACTTCAAAACCTTCTTCCAATTTGTATGTGTATTACATTCATAGTCTCGCATTTGAACTCAGTTTTGAATTTGAACAAAATTCAAATGTGAACATCAAGATTGGAGAGAACTGGTCAATATGTTGGGAATGTGTATGAAGCCAGACTTGGCAATACTTCAGGTTATGTGTGTTTATTCACACCAGGCAACATCTGGCCAGTGCCGGTCAGTGCTGGTCAGTGATGGTCATCATGCATGGAAGGAGATGAAGGTCAGGAATGCTACTGACTCCATGCATCATACCAATAAAGGAGGTAGCCATGTGACCGCTAGCCAGGACATTTCTCCTTCACTGTTCCTCTTCCTGACATTTTAGAACATTTGGCACTGCAGGCAAGAGTATTACCATGGCAACACATGCATCAGTTCTCTGTGCATCTTTGTTGTCTCTACGTAAATAAAGTGAAGGTTAGAATGCAGACTGTATGCTGCACTGTGACGTTCAAATGCAACCTTGTTGAAAAGTCACACATGCTTTCAAGATCAGCAGAGCAGATCCCATGAGTAGAAACACAAATGCTATAGATATAGAAATATTTGTTCTTGTGGTATAGTGGTTATATACAACGGTCGTGCCAATACCAGTATGTAGCATCGCTAGCTGAGGCACAGTGTAAGGTGACTGTTATAGCAAGTATCTGCTTCTATTTATCTAGTATATACACATATGTTATGTAGTATATCTGATCAGTTTGTTTATCCATGGTGTATAAATGTGGGAAAACTGCTAGTGTGGATGGTACATCTGATGATATTGCCAATATTGCCATGTGTGTACTTGCTACATCTGACTATATTGCTTGTATAGTCATGTGTAGATGGTACATCTGATGGTATTGCCAATATTGCCATGTGTGTACTTGCTACATCTGACTATATTGCTTGTATAGTCATATGTGGATGGTACATCTGACGAAATTGCCAATATTGCCAAGTGTGTACTTCCTACATGTACTTCCTATACTATATTGCCTGTGTGGATGGTACATCTGATAATATTGCCAGTATTGTCATGTGTATGTTTTCTATATATGACTATATTGTCTTTGTAGTCATATGTGGATTGTACATCTGATAATATTGCCAGTATTGTCATGTATATGTTTTCTATATATGACTATATTGTCTGTGTAGTCATATGTGGATTGTACATCTGATAATATTGCCAGTATTGTCATGTGTATGTTTTCTATATATGACTATATTGCCAGTATTTTCATGTGTGGATGATACATCTGATGATACTGCCAATATTGCCAGTATTACCATGTGTATACTTGCTACATATGACTATATTGTCTGTGTAGTAATATGTGGATGGTACATCTGATTATTTTGCCTGTGTAGTCATGTGTGGATGGGACATATAGCTATGCCAAGCACTGTCATATCTTGTTTTCCTGTACCTTCATATGGTAGCATTGTCATATTGAGTTGGTTTGAGCCACACTCGCATGATTGCGGGTGTGTGTCTGGTGGTGTGTCTGGTGGTGTGTCTGGCGGTGTGTCTGGCATGATGCCTCCATCAGCTGATGAAGGTGGAGAGTTTCAAGGCTGGTTACAGGCCCTACAGCACACTGTGACATGGCTGTCAGACCTACTCCAGTTGATGTAGGATGGTGTGCATGACAGCACATGAAACCCAACCCGCTGTACCAGTGCCTGCAGACTCCTGGCAGGGCTACATGACCAAACAAGTCTTGCAGCTCTTACACTGTCACTTCCATCTGTACACTGTTCACAGTAATCATCACACTGATTGATGGTGCACAGTTAACGAGGTGGAAGTGAAGCTAATTGTGTTTGTGTATCAATTAGAAACTAAGTTCATTAATTATGTTCTTTGATCAGCAATGTTACACTTATAGGGTACAGTGTACTAAATTCCACTTCCTGAACACAACGGTTTAAAACAAATGCGTTATATTTTATGAATCCCCTGACAAAACAGGTGTCTGTGAGCGGCAACAAGCCGTGCAGCATCTGATAAACAGGGCAGATTATATTACATATAAGTTTTTATGCTGAAAGGAACTGATTATATGTTGCTTTGTATTATCTGCCAGAGAGTGTAGGGAACTATCACAGGTTTGGGAGATTTTTCACAAGTGTTAATCTGTAATGTATCTGGTTTCAGTACTTCAAAGACATATGTAGAGTTTGTTAGCTGAAGCAGGGCTGCAAGATTGCACTGCCACAACTCATAGGTAGGCTGGTACAGGCAGTAGAGCTAAGAATAGGTACTCTAATGCTGGAATGTCTGGTAACCATGGCAGCGTGTGAAGATGTCTAGAAGTATTATTTGGTATACCACTGAGTTGCTGATAATTAGCATTTCTGCTTCATGATATTTGGTTCAACGAGAACCTGACAGTAGAATACGTAAATATATAGTTACATAGGGGATTTGTGATGTGTTCATAAGCTTCAAATGTACACACAATATGCATGAACCATGTATCAAGTATGGCTGTAGATTGCATTTCATTATCGTCTGTGTTGTACAACATATAAGTAATGGCTGATAGCGGGACCATGATAACGGTGATGATCGCAGAATGATATGTACAAACCATGTCATCAGTGTGGGGACATGCTGTTGCTGCTGCTGCTCGGTTACATGCTAACACTTCCAGTCCGAAAATACTCAACTTTAAATCTATTTTCAACTTGAACAATTTTTCAAAGATTTTGCAAGAAACAAAATGAAAAGAGAATTGAGTATTTTGCAATGTGATGCCTTCCACCATCTCCCCTGGATTATATCCTGCAGCATGTTGCCGATGGCGACAGAGGATAATGCATGTACCGCTGACACGGTCCTGATCGAGTGTGTCCTGGTGTAGCTGTAGGCTGAATGTTGTAGTATGGTCTTATCTAGTCACCACACAATAGGCACTATTTGTCATGTTCTGCACTACACCTTCAGTTCACACCTCTGTGGATGAATTGAGTTTCTTTCAATAAACCTTGATTATCATGCATGAAGCGAGTTAATGGAACATCCACAAATTACCAAATCCATGCAAATTCGCCAGTTGTAAATTCAGGAAATTTGAAATAATGAATGGCATCATGTGTGCTTTCAGTTGACACCCCTTGGAAACTGTAGAATATGTATGGATTTCCTTGGTATGACAGATTGAATCAGCATGAATAATTGTCCTCCTATGTGTTGATGACAAGCATGCGTCTGGAACTTAAGTTGATTTTTTACTTTGAAAAGTCATACCTACCTCTGTGATGGGTCATCATGGATAGTTCTCCTGGTGAACCTACACCCTCTCCTAACCTATTGTTTGAGAGTTTTTCAGAGTGTGTTCCCCTTTTGTGCCTTCCCGGTTTGATCTCCTAACTCTGTCCGATTCCCTTAATGTAGAGCAGCAGCAAGCGAAGTTAACGCTGTCAACGGCGAGGATGATCTTGAACGTCGACGTCGTGAGCGAAGAGAGGCTCGTCTAAGGCAAGATAACATGTAACCAAACTGTAATCACCATGGAAGCCTCATGTATAGCTGCCATGTTGAACTGAGGTCAACATGCACCTCACTTGGATATCAAAAGTATCGGAAACCATTTTGTCAGAAACTGTTAGTGTTGCAATATTGACCAGTGAATGATGTATTGCTGAATTGCTTTTGAGGTAAATCTCTATGCTATTGGGGAATTGAGTCAGTGACTTTAGTTAGTCATTGCTTTTAGCAAATTAGTTTAGTTCTGCTTTCGCACTTAAAAAATGAATGATGTAGAGCATGGTTTGCTTCATCATCATCGTCAGCTTCATCTGCCTCAACAACAGCAGCCCTCATATTGGCCAGGAAGGTGTTGTGACATCGGAGTTGTCTCCCTTACATTACCTAGAGGACGTCATCACCTGGACTGGTTGATTTATTTAAGCCGCAATCTCCCTGCTACATTTGCGATTACTGTGATAAGCAGTTGAATCACTTGATTAGTTATGGGTGAAGTTATCTCAATAGGAGCCGGTTTCAGTAATGTTTTCTTCCAGGTACTCAAGGAGTGCAAAGCTGGTTGATGTTAAGTGGCTTGGGATGTGAACTGATGTCTGTCTCTACTTCGCAGCAAATGAGTTCAACTGGCAGATAGTAGAGCCAATGTTTTCTTGGAAGTTTTTACTGGAGATTGTCATCCATGCTGAAATGTTGCACAGTCAATGAACATTTTTCATCCTGTCTGATTTGTTAGTAGCTAAATGAACAATCAAATATCAACATCACTGCAGTTGGATAAATTTCAACTTCCTTACCGATTGGAAAATAAAAGTATAGTATACTAGACTAGAATAGTTTGTTCATGTGAACATTTCCGTCACCAGACAGGCTGCCGAGCCTCAGGAGGAGGAGAGATCATCTCGTAGATCCCGCAGACAGCAAGAGGAGGAGACCCCCGCTGAGGTAAGTCATGTCCCATCTTCCTGATTCCTACTGCATTCAATCAGTTATTGTTACTTTAATTGCACTGCATAATTTTTGCTTGAATGTTACATTTTAAGCACATTCTGTTTTTTGGGAAGTAATGAAAAGTCCATAACAAAAATGGTGAATATGTTACATTTGGTGTATGAGAAGTATTTCTATTACTCCAGTCACACTGACTGTCGCACACTGAGGTGTGCGGAACTGATGACGTAAGCTGCATCAGCAGATTTCCAGCCATTTCTGACTAGCAAATTTAGAGCATGGGAACAAACATGCACTGCATACTATATACTGTTATCCATATGGAGTGACTTTGGCTGCTGTTGTTTTAATGCATTCTTGTCTTGATACAGAATGTAAGTTATCAGTTTCATAATAGATAGTAAGCATACTATGAATTTGTTGATTCCAATATATATATCTTGCAATGTTAATTGTTGTTCACATTTATCTATTTTTGAATGTAATGTATGTTCAACACCAATTTTGATTTTTGAGTTTTTTTCTCTCCATCCATTTATTTTGTTTATGATTTTTCCTCTTCTGGTTGAGTTTGATAATTTTTGTGCATTAAAACTGTGTGCTGTGATCTGCTTAAAACCATCATATTGATGATCATCTCATCTTGAAGGTACAATAAGGTAGTGTGTGAGGGTTCTCTATGCTTAGATATTTATATGGTGTGTGTGATCCTCACCATGTTTCAGGACACCTCAAGCTATAGATCGCGTAGGCGACGAGGCCAGGAGGAGGAGGTAAACTCACCCCACATAGCTCCAACATATGTGCTCTTGCTGTTGTCTTCATTACTGGTGGCAGTCGGTGTGCATCACTATATTTAGCACTGGTAGCTGTAAAGATAGGAATGTGTATCACTCACTCCAGCCCTGGCCATATTCTGCTCTACAGGCCATGTATCCAGCCCTCACTAACCTACACACAACACAACCAGTCTTTCATGTCACCTTCCATCTGTATCAATTTATAAATTAATATTTGGGAGGCTGTTGTAAAATCTTTGATAATCTTTAGCTGGAAGAACATCAGAACTGAAACCTTTAACAAACACCATCCTCATAGGGGAGCCCTGACATATTGATGCTAACAATTGAAAACGTGTTATCCATGGTTTTATGTTGTGAATTTTTAAGATATAAAATGTTTGAACATTGAAGGTGACATGAAATGCTCCCTTGATTCAGAAGAACAGGATCTACACATGCATAATGCTGTGTGCTAGCATTGTCGGCCATCTTGCATTGTTTTCTGGAAAATTTCCTTTTAGTTGTTTATGGAAAAATGTTTTATAATTTCCATATAATGATAGAAAATAACTCCACTTTTATAAATCCTTGTATCATTGTGTCTACTGGAAATATAATATTTGGAAAATATTATCCAGGAAATAATGTGTTATATAAATAAATAACACATATACATTTCTACTAAGTAGATAGATCATGATAATTCATTGATAACAAAGCTTGGTCTGCTTTGCATATATCTAAACCTCTAAGATCCATTTAGGTTTAGACGTGGACAATGATCTCCATGTCTTCTGACTCTCTGTAGTACATACAGTGTTACAATGTATCCACAAGGCAACACTGTCCTATACCCTCTCTCTGTAATACATACAGTGTTACAATGTATCCGCAAGGCAACACTGTCCTGTACCCTCTCTCTGTAGTACATACAGTATTACAATGTATCCACAAGGCAACACTGTCCTGTACCCTCTCTCTGTAGTATAAACAGTGTTACAATGTATCCACAAAGGCAACACTGTCCTGTACCCTCTCTCTGTAGTATATACAGTGTTACAATGTATCCACAAGGCAACACTGTCCTGTACCCTCTCTCTGTAGTATAAACAGTGTTACAATGTATCCACAACATTGTCAACATTGTCCTGTAAGGCCTCTCTCTGTAGTATAAACAGTGTTACAATGTATCCACAAGGCAACACTGTATCCCTCTCTCTGTAGTATAAACAGTGTTACAATGTATCCACAAGGCAACACTGTCCTGTACCCTCTCTCTGTAGTATAAACAGTGTTACAATGTATCCACAAAGCAACATTGTCCTGTACCCTCTCTCTGTAGTATAAACAGTGTTACAATGTATCCACAAGGCAACACTGTCCTGTACCCTCTCTCTGTAGTATAAACAGTGTTACAATGTATCCACAAGGCAACACTGTCCTGTACCCTCTCTCTGTCCACAAGTGCAACATCTGTCTACTCTCTGTAGTATAAACAGTGTTACAATGTATCCACAAGGCAACACTGTCCTGTACCCTCTCTCTGTAGTATAAACAGTGTTACAATGTATCCACAAGGCAACACTGTCCTGTACCCTCTCTCTGTAGTATAAACAGTGTTACAATGTATCCACAAAGCAACATTGTCCTGTACCCTCTCTCTGTAGTATATACAGTGTTACAATGTATCCACAAGGCAACACTGCCCTATACCCTCTCTCTGTAGTATAAACAGTGTTACAATGTATCCACAAGGCAACACTGCCCTGTACCCTCTCTCTGTGTCCTGTAGTACAATGTATCCACAAGGCAATACTGTCCTGTACCCTCTCTCTGTAGTATAAACAGTGTTACAATGTATCCACAAGGCAACACTGTCCTGTACCCTCTCTGTGTAGTATAAACAGTGTAGTATAAACAGTGTTACAAATGTATCCACACAACACTGTCCTGTACCCTCTCTCTGTAGTATAAACAGTGTTACAATGTATCCACAAGGCAACACTGTCCTGTACCCTCTCTCTGTAGTATAAACAGTGTTACAATGTATCCACAAGGCAACACTGTCCTATACCCTCTCTGTGTAGTATAAACAGTGTTACAATGTATCCACAAGGCAACACTGTCCTGTACCCTCTCTGTGTAGTATAAACAGTGTTACAATGTATCCACAAGGCAATACTGTCCTATACCCTCTCTGTGTAGTATAAACAGTGTTACAATGTATCCACAAGGCAACACTGTCCTGTACCCTCTCTGTGTAGTATAAACAGTGTTACAATGTATCCACAAGGCAATACTGTCCTCACTGTGTCCATGCTTTAGTACATGCAATGTTGCAGCATAACCAAGTCATATCATATTGCATGCCTTTCCAAGACATTCTCAGCACTGAGAAAACCAACACTGAATGATGAATGACGTTATGTTATATATACAATGCATGTTGTTTTCTACAGCAGCATCCTGGCACTATTTTGTTCAGAGGTTCCATATTTAACTCAAGTTTTTAAGACTAATAGTACAATATTTTAATTGTTATCAATTCTTGAGACAGACAGATCTGTAATTCTATATATTACAAGTAGCTAATGGTTTTATAAGCTTGATGCTATACCTACAGTACAGAGACTCTGCTATCCTTGTCATTATGGAGTGTACTTTGATTTGCTCAGGAGGAAACCCCCGCTCCCGCTGCCGAGGAGCCTCAGGTGGAGGTTTGTTAAGTGTCTAGTGCAGCACTGTGGAGGTTATTTGTGTTAAGCACTGCAGTGTAGCCCGCACAGATGCTCCTTGACCAATAGACCTAGCTGTAGATGTCCAGTAGACATCCTTAGATCATGTAGATGGGTGACATTAGATAGAGCTGCTTTCTACTTTCAAAAATTTCCCTGATTCAAAATTCTGCTTCATTTAGTGATTTCTCTCTCTCTCAATTCAATGAATGTGATAACATTTTGGTCAATGTTCACATTTTCCCAGATGTTACACCTTGAAGTGAGTGACATTTAGTTGCTGTGGTATCTTCAAAAACTGGATAAGCTGATTGACTTATGGATATCGACTTGTTGCATTTTTCCAATGCGCCATTCTTGCAATGAAAGAAAAAAGGTCGAGATTCATAAGTCAATCTTGTCTTTCTGCTATTTTGTGAATTCCTTTTGCGACCAGTTCCTGCTTTCTCCCTATTTGAAAGTAAATAGTTTTTGTCCATACCATCCTGTATAGTCCTCAGTCCTGTTAGAAGTGTGTGTGTGTTCCTCTCCCATGGTGCCAGGTGGGCACATGGACGTCCTGGACGTCAGGATCTCCTCTGTATTACAGAGTCCTCTCCGTGCTGTGGTATTAGTCTTATGTTGTTGAAAGGTTTTGGATAGTTTGAAGGTTCATGTTGGTCAGTAAGAGGATGGTGAATGTCAGATTGCTCATCTATAACTGTTGTCAGTCTTTGTCCATCATAGCAATGTCATCATCAGTCACTTAGCCAAACTTTAGTCTGAGATGAGATTATATTTTCTTTTTTCAATATTTTCATTTTTCTCATACCAGCATGAGTCTGATTTCGCTTATTTTTCTCCTCTATATTTTGTAACATCAGTCCCTGGTGTGATCTTCCAGTAATGTTAGAAATCAACCTCAACATGTTCAGATACACATTTGAAGATGTATGAATCATTGGTTAAAATTTGAATTTGTAACTTGAAACATTGTGATGAAATCCAACAAAAATACATCTTCAAATCCACCACACAAAAGTAAGTAATGTATCTGTAACATAATAACTTCCTTTTTGTGTAACACCACCTCCCAGCTCTTCCCTAGAGTTATCTCCCCTGACACCTCAACAGGCAACTGCATCATTTGTTTGTTGTGGTGCAGGACACTTCTAGCAGCCAGGCAGAAGCAGAAGACGACAGCGCTGCACAAGCCGCCAGGGAGGAAGCAGAACGTCGTCGCAAAGAGCAGGAAGCAGAAGAGGCTAGAGAGGCGGAAGAGGCTGAGAGACGCCGTGAGCAAGAGGCTGCTCGCAAACGTGAGGAGGAAAAACGCAGACAGAAAGAGGACGAAGAAGAACAGAGGAGACAAGTATGTGAAGTTTACTTACGTTACCTACATAAAAGACAGTAGAGCAGCTCAGAGGGCATGTAGTCAAAACAATATAATCTTTACTAATTGTTAAGACATGTCATCATAGGTAATTGAACACCAGTGGCCGTATGCATATGTAGGGCGTAAGTAAAATGTGCACCCGGACGTAACGTTAAACCGGTATGCACATATTAGACGTAGTTAAAGTTCCGCCCGTCATAGCGCTCTATATTTATGCCACCTACCCAGCAGGCGGAAGGCAGGTGGCCCTGTAATGGTGGCACTGGATGCCGAGTGTGTTTTTCAGGCCCACATTCTCAAAAGGTTTGAAAAGTGAACGTTGTGCGAGAATTGCTCTCTTGTGGTCCTGGATCTGCGTACAGCTATAAAATTACACAGAAATGTAGAATATTTAATTTCCTATCCGTTGGTATAGATATAAGTGCGACTACTTCGGCGGTTTGAGAAATAGACACTGCTAAATGTTGTCCAAAATGTTGTTATGCGTTAGAAAACTGTCAATTTCTCCGCTTTTTGTCGTGCACCGATAAAAGCACTCTGCTACGATTTTTTTTAATTTGGCATCTTTGCAGAAAGTGTGAGTGAAGAAAATACAGCCTGATATTTGAACGAAATAAGTGTATATGAAATGGGTTTATGTGCTAATGCATAACATTACACGCTCAACATTAAAAATGACTCGCAATAAGTGCCAGAAATGGATTTTCTTCTGTCTCAACCGACGACAGAGAGGTCATACACGTATAAGGATAAGGGGGCATAACTCCGCAATGCTTAACACTAGGTCAGTGTAACTCAGATCACTTGGAGAAAAGTTGTTGGGGATACGGACGCTATATTTTCGTTATGCTGTGTTCACGGTGAACCGACCTATTCCATTACAAAGTTCCCCAATGTGAGCGGATATGTTTTGGTAGTTTCACAATTTTTAAGAAAAGATGGCAATGTACTACATGTACTTGAGAAAGCAGGTAATAGCGATTTGGATGGCCCTATCCGATATGTAAGTAAGTTCTTAGATTCCCATATTCTGTTTGTGTAGATGTATATTGACTAATTTTGCATCATTATTAACGGAGTACTAGCCATATCTTCAAATGTAATGAAATTACTGATAATAATACAACATTTTAGTTGACGTCATGGCTTGTTTTATGCATTTGCGTCGTCGGAAAAAGACAACATTGCTACGTAGTGTAAAATCAGAATTTTTCTTTGTTTACATTTCAAACAAGCGCAGCCTTTCGAAAACAGCGTTCGTTTGGACTTTTCACACCCAATATCTTTCGTTTTATTTTATCAAGACAGTTGATATTGGTGACAAAGGCCATTTGTAATTTGATTCTAAAATGTATGGGGAATTCAGTGATGCATTTGTCGCAGCTGAATATGATATATATATGATGTAATTGGCGTCTCAATACCGGCCTTTGCGAAACGTGATTTTGTAGCATTTTGTAAACACTATCCAATATTGCGGAAAGCGCACTTCGGCGTTCGTGTAAGTGTATTTTCAGAATTATCATTAGTGATTTCATAAAAACCTGATATCAGTGATCATTAATATGCTATTTTTGAAATTCAATACTTCTGAGTAGTAATTATCCGATTTGAATATTTCAAAACATACACCAAATAATGCTGTGAATCGTGATTTCGTAATGTGTCAAAAATGGCGACATTTATGATGAAGCCTATTTTGAAAGTCCATGTTATTTCTCCATCAGGATCCATCGGTAAAGTTGGGTTTTCTAGGTTTTCTTTGGCTTTCCATGATTACGGCTGAAACGGATGTACCGCGAAGTTGTTTCGCGCCTTTTACCAGTGGTTTAAAAACGTTCGAAAATCTAAATATAGCACACTGTGCCTCGACGTAAATCGGTTAAGTCAGGTGTAGTAACGCCTAGGCTTAACCGACGTTGTGCATGACGTGTAAGAGGAGGGCGCTGATAAGCCCAAAGTAGTGTGTTACGCCAGATGTTGCTACGCCCAACATGTGCATACGGCCACAGGTGTTTGGTTTCATGAGTCACTACCACCCCTCTAGGTTATCTAAATCCCAGACTATGGTGACAGATTAGCTATTAACATCTTAAGTGGACTCTTACCATTGACGAGAAACAAGATTTTTCAACATCAGCCCCAAAAGTGTTATTTCTGGCAACAAAGATCGCTAGATATTGAAGACATGCCCTTTGAACTGACATGCTAAAAGTGTAAAGATATAGGCAGACATCCTTGAGGTCAGTAGCTTAGTCTTCCTCATATCGGGACAAAGGTAGGTGGTGCATGCTGGGTGACAATGTAGCTGCATGACTTGCCATCTGTCTGAGAACTTTTAAACTTATGCAAATTAATAAGAAAATTAATATATGAAGAAAAGGTTATAGAAAATATCTTGCATGGGGAAGATGTGAAAGCAGCTTTAAAGAAAGAACTTTTTATGCATGATATAATCATGGTACCATCAGGCCAGTAGTAATATGCATGATATAAGCATGGTACCAGTAGACACTCTAATGTGCATGACATAAGCATGGTACCAGCAGACCAGTAGTAATATGCATGACATAAGCATGGTACCAGCAGACCAGTAGTAATATGCATGACATAAGCATGGTACAGCAGATCAGTAGTAATCAACATGATATAAGCATGGTACCAGCAGACCAGTAGTAATATGCATGATATAAGCATGGTCAATATTTTATGAAATCTGTCTTTAGTAGTAAATTACTGTGCATGATTTACATAAAGCATGGTGCATGTGCTTTTCTTTTGCATGTTCCCTGCTGTGTTCAGCTGGGTGAAGATGATGGGAACAGTTGCCCACGTGATCTGCATGAACCAGTACATGATTCCCCTAGACAGGCTAAGTTAGCGAACTTGGCAAATGGCAGGCCACTTGCCTTGATTTGAGTGAAATATCTGAGAAAGATGAGAGCTACAGTTTGTCCTTTGAAGATGAAGACAGTTGTGTGGAAGACATTGTGGAAGATGGTGTAGCAGAGCTAGATGAAGAACTGGAGGAGGAAGGTTTTGAAGAGCAGAGCAATGACATGTTCACTCCCAGACCAGGACCTATGATAGATGATGGTGGAGGGGTGATGACACAGGAGTATGTGGAGGAGGAGATGGAGAGAAGGGATAGGGATGAGTTCGAGGAGGGGGATAGAGGAGGAGGTGTGATGACACAGGAGGATGTGGAGGAGGAGATGGAGAGAAGGATAGGGATGAGTTCGAGGAGGGGGATAGAGGAGGAGGTGTGATGACACAGGAGGATGTGGAGGAGGAGACAGAGAAGGGATAGGAGTATATGGAGGAGGAGGTGTGATGACACAGGAGTATATGGAGGAGGAGATGGAGAGAAGGGATAAAGACGAGTTCGAGGAGGGGGATAGAGGAGGAGGGAACACATCATTTGTAAACTGTGGCATTATTCGTCATGACACTGTTGATATGGCAGATGACACAGAATATGAGAGAGAACTATATGATGCACCTACCAGAGATTTGCAAGTTGAGAGGATTTGTGATGATGCACAGGAAGTGTTCAGTAGTCAGCATCTGGCAGATGAAAACACATCAGGCACGTACTGTATTGAACAAAATCAGAAACTGCACACAGATGCTATTCCATTTAATTGGTCTATTCTAGAAAATGCCCTGTCACCTAGTTTGTCAGGTACTTACACTCTTGAAAGCAATTTAGAACAAAGAAACTTGGGGAATTTACACACTGATGGTTTAAATGGTGATAATATGAATGATGGCTGGAGTAAAGCGGATGTCTCACCAGATGCCAGCCTGGATGCAGCATCTGCAGACCGCCACTTGGACTGGACCAGTGAGGATTACCTGAGTGACACTTCCTCATCAGACTCTAGGGATATGCAGGGTCTCATGGATGAATACAAGAAGCTTGTAAATGATGAATCTGAGGAAGAACTGTACCCAGACTTGAAGACGGAACTTGCTGAAGCTATAGCTGCTGATGACATCCTAGGTGTTGATGGAATCAAGGATGAGCTTGAGATGAACATCAGTCAACATTCCGATGACATTCATGAGCAGTTTGCATTTGATGGTCACTATGATGGAGAGAGAGAATCTTGTCAGTCACAAAATAGCTCCTACAAAGACTATTGCATCAGTGTTTTTGATAGCTCAGCTGAATATGACAAGTCCCCGGTGCAAGTTGAATCCCCCAGGACTTTGAAGGCAGAGTATGAAATGAACAATGAGAGTCTAATGACTGTACCTCGACTGACACTACCTAGTGACCTTGGAGGCAGTTCTACTCTGACTTCATCTGAGAGGAAAGAAATAACAGATGAACAAAATAACACCGATAGTGCAAAGTTTGCTTCTTCTCGGTCTGTACTTTCCGAAACACATAAGGGTGTACACAATGCCGTTAAACATTTTGTATCAGATGCTGTCCGAGGTTTCATAGATGATGCAGCATCTTCTCAACAGGAGAATAGCAATGGGTATGTGTCACATATGACCAATATCCCTCTTGATGGACATCAGGATGCCTTCCACTGTCAGGACCTAATCTACCCTGGCTCCCCTCAACAACCTTTTCAGTTGGAACATGAGTCTATGGGAGACTTCCAAGGTATTGATGAACTTCCAGTCCCAACAGAAGAGCATGAAAGCTTTGCACCAGAATTTGATGAAGATATCTTGCCAAGGATTGCTGATGAAGAACTTGAGAATGAAGAGCTTGGAGAGGATGTACTTTTCTTCATACCTGGCACAATGGAGGCTATTGATGAAGTCCCCATTCATGATATACATGAAGCAAGGAATCAACATTATTCCATCAGTTCTGAGGAGCAGTTGATGCATGAGACTACAACAGACCCTGTATCAGAAGACCAAGAAACACCTCGGGAACTTTATCAAGAAAATCCTGAAAATCCTGAATATCTGAAAGATGTGGTGAAGCAAGGATGTCTGATGACAGA